AGACGGACGAGGCCACACGGTGCGTGTGTGCAGTGGGGGTGGGGAGGGGGAGGTGGGGGGATAAAGGTGTAAGGGACATGGGCCAGCTGGGCTCTGTAAGGGACATGGGCCAGCTGGGCTCTGTAAGGGACATGGGCCAGCTGGGCTCTGTAAGGGACATGGGCCAGCTGGGCTCGGCTGCGCGCGCTGCTGTTCAACCTGGCCATATGGGAGCACATGGTGGTGGGGGAGAGACGGGAGAGACCGACGAAGCCACGCGGTGCATGCATGTTGGTGAGTTGAAGTGGCGCTATTGGCACTGGGTAAAGGGGGGCGGACGGGGGTGACAACACAGCACAGCACAGCACACAGCTGGGCTCGGCTGCATGCGATGCTGCCTGACTCGGTCACATGGGAGCACATAGTCACCGGGGGGAAGATTGATGAGTCCACTCAATGCGCCCATGGAGTTGATCCTACTGGGGTATGGGGGGGAGTGGGTGGGAAGGGGAGGGGGTGGGAAGGGGAGTGGGTGGGAAGGGAAGTGGGTGGGAAGGGGAGGGGGTGGGAAGGGGAGTGGGTGGGAAGGCGATAGGCTCGGGCGCAGTGTGCACGTGCGGGCGAGGCAGGGTGCAGAGCAGCATGCACTCACGTGCGGTGTTGTTGACGAGGCAACAGAGCTGCCAGGTGCACGTGGCTGGCTGTGTGCTGTGCTGGCGGGTGCAGTGAGCAGAGAGTACGATGCGGTGGGGGTCTCATCTCAACACGGACGAGGCAACGCAGTGTGTGGCTTCTTAGATCTCTGAAAGACCACCATCTCTGAAAAGGGACACGGACACGACCACCATCGTTCTCGATGTGTCCCTCTTCACTTGCCTTGCTCCCCCTCTCTATCCCACCCACCCGCCCTCGCCCTCTCTCCTTCTGCGCTCCCCCCTTCCCCACTCCCGCCCACCAGCTACATCGCCCCCACCATCATTCGAGACGTGCCTCTGGACGCGCCAGTCATGCAGGAGGAGGGCTTTGGACCCATCATTGCCGTCATCAAGGTGTGTACGTAGGTGCTGTGCGGTGCTGCCAGGTGCTTGCAGCTGCTGTGCAGTGTTCCTGCTCAGTTTCTTTCCCCACCCACCCGGATGTGGCAAGTACGTTGGTCATAATTGCAGTGAGTATGCATGCAAGTGAGTAGTGAAGGTACTTGGCTCACTCTCACCCACCTCATTCACTTCACTCACCGTCGACTCTCAAGGCATTGCACCAATTCTCCCTCTCCCTGCTGACTTGCAGGTGCGAGGCATGGACGAAGCGATAGGCGTTGCCAGCTGCCCCACGCCGCTGGGACTAATTATTGATCGGTATAACACCTCTCGCTCCCTTCCGGGCTGGCTGACGTCATCCCCCAATCCCACCAGGTGCGACGCGTGGACGAGGCCATAGACATTATCGCCAGCTGGCCCTAGCCGCTAGTGCTAATTATCAGTCGTACCACACCCATCCTCTTTCCTCTCTCCCCCTCTGGTGTGACGTCCCACCCCACCAGGTGCAAGGCGTGGACGAGGCGATAGACATCATCGCCAGCCGCCCCAAGCCGCTGGCACTGTACCTGTTCACAACGCACAGCACCGTTATCGACCGCTTCGTCAAGGAGACCTCTTCGGGTGCTGTGTGTGTCAACGACACCACCTCGCATGTGAGCCTTTCTCACTTGGACATGTCTTAGAAATCGTTTTCTTACATTAGGATTTCTTATTGAGAGATTTGCTTGGAGGGCCTCGCATGTGAGCCGAGCTCTGCCCTGCTCCCTTTTGCAAGTGGAGTTTGTATGGAGAGGTGTTTTTCTGCTTGAAGGGCTGGGTGTAATCCATCCACCGCTTTGTCAAGGACACCACCTCGCATGTGAGCCTTGCTCCTCTTCTCTCTCCTCAACTTCCTTTTTGTGATGGTCCTTGGTATCTCTGTCTCTGCAGCAGCTAGTGCAGATGCGACTCTTGCTTGCTCGCGCTCCCTCATTGAAATTCTCAAAGCTTATCCGCGTGTGCTCGCTTGGCATGTACATTTCTGTGTATGCTGTATTTGTAGTTCTTCGGGGCTGCAGGTTCAGACTTAGCTCCCAGGCTTGTTAGAGTTATGTCCGCTGTTCCTCAAATGCATCCAACTCTTCCAATCACACATTTGTGCAGTTTGTCAACCCAGCGTTGCCATTCGGTGGAGTAGGAGACAGTGGCATGGGCAGCTACCATGGGAAGCACTCGTTTAATTGCTTCAGCCATCGCAAGGCAGTCATGTTGAAAGGCACCTTGCTGGACTTCCCAGTTCGATACCCTCCTGGCAGCCCGTTCAATGAGAACCTTGTGAAAGCGCTCATGAATTTGTGGTTTGTACAGCTACTTCTAGTCGTTTTAGGCCTGAAAAAGTAGCCATCTGTTTAATGCGCAAATGCCCATCTACTATTAGGATGTATGTAAATATGCGAGTTTTATCGTTTTTTATGTTCGCCAAGCTTTGGCGTGTAACATTCAGTGCACGGGAACACCTCTTTTCGAATTGGCGGGATTCCTGCAGCAAAGTACTCATTGACCAACTGAAACCAATCAAGCGTCTTCAATGCAGCCACGTCAGCCTCAAGCCCCTCTACACCAAGCATATTCGTCACCACCATTCAAGTTGGCGGGAACACTCAACGTGTAACCGCAACGTGCGAGAAGCACAAAATGTCTTTTGACCTGCTCACTCCTTGAAATGTACTGTACTGTACTGTATCTTCAAGCTTGTCCTCCTTCAAATGGCTGACGGGGTATCTGCTGACCAATACATTTCGGGCAGACCAGCGACACAACCAGCCTTATACGGTGCTGTACTTTCAGCTAAGTTCCAAACCGGCTACACTGCCTTGTTTCTTCTTCACGGTTCAGGTACGCGTACTGAAATGTTGCACTAGACCAGACAATGCTGTACAACTGTTCTGAGTGCAGCATTGTGCGAATCTTCCCAGAGTTTCCACTTTTTTGGCATCAGATTTACAGGGTGACCGTTCCGTGTTCCATGGCAGGCTTTCGTTACGTTACGACGCCAACATGGGCAGACATGAATTTGGCAGCGTTTGGCGAGTCGCGGGTAGAACAAAATATGATATTACTGTAGACTCAATTATCACAAGTTTCGTGATGTGGGTGGACCATGAAATGATCTCCCAACATTGAAACATTGTTGCAAGATCGAGTCGACATGAGGAACTGCGCATACAAAAAGGTGGTTTCTCCACTTCTGGGCGAGTGGTGGGAAGGGGTACCAAAGAACAGGCCACACGAAGGAGAGGAGTGGATGTGACTGGACTGGAAGTCTTTCCACAAATGTGCGTGTAGTTTGGGGAAGAAGACGAAGTAGCCCCGACGAACATCGTTGCAGCAAAGAACCCCACAGCTCTCAAATTTCCAGCGCAATATCTATTCACACAGCAATGTACTGTACTGTTCTGAATCTCCCCCCCTTGTTGGTCTCTGACAATTTGCGTCGTCTGCGCTATTCCAAACATTGACCTTTGAAGGCGAGGGCTCGGAAAAATCACTAAACTCGACGATTTTCGGATTTGTGTCAAATCGGTCGACCACTCGTGCTCCACGTCAGCACTATTTCGAATTCCAAAACTCCGATCGACCCTACATTAGCTTACGTGGTATGGTGTAATGTTTATCGGTTGGTGTTGAGTAGGTACGTAACTTTGTCGAAGTAAGTTTGGTTTAGGCTCACGTGCTGGCCCGCATGATATCGTTTTTGTCGTGGTGTTGGTCTGCACAGTACATACCGAGGTGTCGTGTAGGTTGGATATATATTGCACTGCCTGCGTAAGCAGGCAGTGCAATCGAGTCAGCAAGCTGACCGCGGGCAAGAAAAAAACAAAACCCATTCGGAAGACATGTCATCCGAGGGAGAATCAACCCTTAAAATTTAGGGTTGAGGCTCCCGAATGGCATGCCGTAAGCCATGGGGTTTATTATTTTGCCCGCGGTCAGCATGCTGATTCACTCGGTAGCGCCACCACCCACAAACCCACGAATTTCGAAAAACCCTAACGCAGTCGTACCACTTGGGACAGGGTGACCAATTCGTGCTTGAAAGTGTAGAAAAAGGGTCGGTCGATCGGAGTTTTGGAATTCTAATTTGAGCTGACGTGGAGCACGAGTGGTCGACCGATTTGACACAAATCCGAAAACCGTCGAGTCGTGTGCTTTTTCCCGAGGGCTCCCTTCGCGCCAGTCCCAAGCTTCTGCAAAGAGGCTTTCACCGTGGCTTTCAAACAGGGAAGAGTTGACAGACAGCTTTCTGTTCGAAAACTCTTCCAAACCGAGCGCTGAACACTACTTGAGATACAGTGTGCTTTGACCCGCGCTTTATGGGAGCAAACAGCTGTCAAACACGGATGTGCTGTGGAGTGCGTAGGAAGCAGCACTAAACTAGAGTTCAGTCTTCTTCCATTCTCCTGATAAAGAGCTTGTCAATGCCGGCTGTTCAGTATTGTTGTTCCCTTCACTTCAGTGGGTTCGGCGTTTTCGCGAGGACGATGTTTAACCGTCGCTCGCATTGCAGCCTCGAATTGAAGCGCTTCCAGATTCAGACAACTATGTAACCCTAGCTCGACATTAGCTCGTTCCTGAGCACGCCGTTCACAGCCGGACCTACCCAGTTCCAAGGTAGAGCACATGTCCGTTCCAGCTCGCAACTACAATGCCCGTCGGTTCTTGTACTAGTTCCCTTCACTTCTTATTCACCAGGTGAGCTCACGGGATTGCTCACCGCATTGCCCGCTACGAGCCGCATCATAATCTCCGTGTGGTATAAGCTGCTTCGAGGGTGACTAAAATCCGCGCTGACTCCGCATTGCGGGACTGGTATCACCTCTTGCTATCTTTTGAATCGACTCGATTGTCGACTGGTGACACCTGTTCCCATCGAATTCGCCATCACCGCCTCGTTTCGCCATGGCATCGCAACAAGGCAACGCCCCGCTTTCGCCAACGCGCGCGATGTCACCGAAGCAGCAGTTACATTCGCACAACCAGCTCGTCGCACGGCTCCAGTCGCCCTCCGCCGACCCCGCCTCCCTTCCGCCCTCCTTCCTCAAATACCCCATCTCGCACCTTCGCGCCAAGAACGTCACCATTCCCGCGGATTTCTTCTGCCCCATTTCGCTCGACATCATGCGCGACCCGGTAACTGTCGCGTCGGGGAAGACGTACGAGCGCGCCGAAATCGAGCGATGGTTTCGCGAAGGAAATCGTTACTGTCCGGTTACCCGCTGCGCGCTCGAGGACCTTCACGTCGCCTCGAACAAATCTCTTCGCAGCATCATTTCCGCCTGGTGCCTCGGACATGGCATTCGCCTCTCTGCTAACACCTCCGCCAGCGGCGGCGGCGGCGGCGGCGGCGGCGGCGGTGGAGGTGGGCACGCGAAGGGGGGCAGCGGAGATCTTACTCAGAATGCCGCTGGCGGAAAGCCTGGCGGGGACGCAGGCTCCGCGCATCCCACCATCTCCCCGCGCGGGGTGCTGACTCCCCGCAGCGACTCCTACACTGGCCGCGGAGAGCAAGCCTCGCGCGCGGAGCGCTCCGCGTCGCGCGGGGAGTCATTCCCCGCGAGACCCCTGACCGGGGACAGTTACGACGCGTCTCAAAGGTCCGCGCGCCCGCTGTCGGGGGAGCGCCACGCGGAGCCTTACGCCGGCCGGCCCGCCTCCGGGGAGCGGCACCAGCGACGCGGAAGCGTGTCATCCGATCGGGAGAGCGGAAACCTCAGCAGCGGCGGAAGCAGCACCACCAGCGGCGCAAGCAGCGGCAGCATCAGCCTCGTGTCGACCAGCAGCGCCAGCAGCGGCGGGGGCGGCGGGAGAGCAGGCGGAGGGGGGGGCGGAGGCGGAACGGGCGGAAATAGTTTCTGGCGCAGCGCGTCGTCGTCCGATCGTCCGCTTTGCCCCATCTGGCCCGTGTCGTCCCCGCTCGCCTCCCCCACGCACTCCCCCACCCACGCCGCCGCGGCGCTCAGTCCCTCCTCCGCCTTTACCGGCGGCGGGGTTAGCAGCAATCCGCAGCTTAGCCCCACGCATCCTGGCTTTAGTCCGACTTACCCCGCCGTTAGTCCGACGCGCCGCGGCGCGGCGCACAGCCCGAATAGCTCCATGCAGCTGAGCCCCACGCGCGCGCCGCTCAGCCCGCTGCCCGCGCATCTCGGCGCGGGCGACGGCGCACATGACGCCTGGAACGACTGGAACCACTACCCGGGCCGCGACGAGTGGAGCGGCCCGCAGCCGCGCCGCGTCGACTGGTCTGGGCCGCAACCGCGCCAAGCGGCGCGGACTGGCGGCGCGGCGGCAGCCGGGGGAGGTCGGACGGGGTCCGGAGGAGGAGGGGGAGCGGGAGGGGGGAAATCGGCCGGCGGAAAAGTGGGGGTCGGCGGGCGGGGGGCTCTAGGGCCGGCGGGTGGTGGTATCGGCGGAGCAGGTGCGCGGGCTGGGGGCGGCGGAAGCAGCCAGCAGCAGGTGGCGGCGGCGGCGCAGCAGCGGTTCTTCTCCGAGCGGCTCGACCGGCACCAGCTGGCGCTGCTGGCGGCATGGGACGACGACAGCGACGCGGAGGGGGGCGGCGGCGGGGGAGAGGGGGAGCGGGAGCGGGAGAGGGAGAGGGAAAGGGAGCGCGAGCGGGAACGGGAGAGGGAGCGGGAGAGGAGCAGTCAGCAGGTTTTGGCGTATTTGGCGCACAGCAGGAGCGGCAGCAGCAGCGGCGGCGGCGGAGGGGGAGGGGGAGGGGGCGGGGGAGGGGGCGGGCGGAACGCGTTTAGCAGTGCGGGGAAGAGCTACAGCGTGGGCGAGCCCGTGTCGCTCGTCCCTAGCTCCGCGCCGATGGCTGGTGGTGGCGGTGCTGGTGGTAGTGCAAGCAGAGACGCTCGAATCGCGGCGTATGGCAGGTCCGTCTCGTCGAACCGCCTCTCCTCGCCGCAACTCGCGGGCATCAGCAGCAGCAGCGGTTCTAGCGGCGGCGCTGCTGGCGGAGGGGGCGGGGGAGGGCACGCGGCGCGCAGTGCGCGCGGGGGGGAGGGCATTCGGCAGGCGCACCACTCGCACAGCCACAGCCACTCGTCCCTCTCCGCGTTCGCCTCCCCCCTCGCTGCTGCCGCCGCCGCTGTCACCTTCGGGGCCAGTGCCCCTCCCAACCCAAATCCACAGTCAAATCTAAATCCAGGTCTAGATCCGGATCTGAATGCCAGCGCGGCGGTAATGATGCTGGGGAGCAGGGGTGGCGGGGGGTCGGTGGGGTGCGCGCCAATGGGCGCGCGGGGGGACGGGGAGGCGGAGGGGGAAGGGGCGGAGGGCGCGGAGGGGGAGGAGGAGGAGGAGGAGGAGGAGGAGGAGGAGGACGGCGCAACAGGGACGCTCAAGCGGTGGGCTACTAACCCCTCTGACAGGTATGGCGGCAGTATGAGTAGCAGTAGCAGTGTCGGGGGCAGTGGGAGTGTGGGTGGCAGTGGCGGCAGCAGCAGCAGCAGGAGGCCGTGTAGTGCAGGGGCGGGTGGAACAGGCTCGGTGGGTTCCGAAGCAGATGCCGCCGCGGCTCGGTTGGACCAGGAGGAACAGGTTCGGGCCAGGCTTCCAGACCTAATTCGGCAAATGCTGGGCGGCAGTGCGGGCGGCAGCAACACCGGCCCCGAGGCAGCCTCAACGTTCCTAACCATACAGCGGCGCAGGGCAGCCGAGGAGGTTCGGCACCTGGTTCGGGACTCCCGAGGCAACCGGGCAGCCGTGGTGTCAGCAGCGGGCGGCCGAGCCATCCCGGGGCTGCTTTCTCTCTTCTCATGTGGCGATCCCGATACTGTAGAACATGCGGTTACCGCCATCCTCAACCTCTCCCTCTCCTCCTCCACTCACTCCCACCTCATCTCCCACGGTGCTGTTCCCCGTCTCGTGACCATAGTGACAGCTGGCAACAGAGACACGGGCATGAATGCCGGGGCGGCAGACCCTGACAAGCCGCCGAGCCTCTCGCCTCGCTCTGTCTCCCGAACCGCGCGTGAGAACGCTGCTGCTGCCCTGTTTGCGATCTCGGCGTCGTCCGAAACGAATAAGATCCTGGTGGGGTCGACGCCAGGTGCCGTGACGGGATTGGTCGCCATGCTCGCTGTCTCCTCCTCCCCCTCCGGCTCCCCCAATTCCATCCGCAGCCGAAAAGACGCCGCCCTGACCCTCTTCAACCTCTCATTGGCCGAGAAAAACCGGGCAGCGATAATTTCCGCCGGGGCAGTGCCGCTATTGGTGGAGATGCTGCAGGAGTATGGGTCCGGGCTGGAGGAAAAAGCGACCGCTGTGTTGGTCAACCTGGGGAAAACTGGGCGGCTGGGGCGGACGGCGATCCGGGCGGCGGGCGGGATACCGCTATTGGTGGAGGCGATGGAGTGTGGGTCGGAGAGGGGCAAGGAGGACGCGGTGGCGGCGCTGCTGATGCTGGCTGAGGACCCAGCACTGAGGGATGAGATCGCAGCGGAGGGGGTTCTGCCCACTCTGGGCGTGCTGCATCGGTGTGGGACTCCAAGAGCACGAGTGAAGGTGAGTTGCTGTTATTCAAGGGGGGTGGGGAAGGGCACTGCAGGGGAAAGGCACTAGTGGGGAAAGAGGACGCAGTGGCGGCTCTGCTGATGCTGGCTGAGGTGAGGACCCCGCATTGAGAGATGAGATTGCGGCAGAGGGGCTTGTGCCCACAGTGGGCGCGCTTCAACACTGTGGCACACCATGAGTGCGGGTGAAGGTGAGTTGTTGTTGGTTCAGCGGTACTGCTGGGGAAGGGAACTAGTGGGCATGGAGTATGCTGTGGGGAAGGGTGCTGATGCTGGCTGAGGACCCGGCGGGTGAAGGTGAGTGGTTGATTGGGAGGCTGGGGGTTGGGGAAGGAAGGGGGCGCATGCTGGCTCAGGGCCCGGCGCTGCGAGATTAGATCGCGGCGGCGGTGCGCAGCAGCGCTGTGCGATGCCGAAGGCAAGAGCGAAGGTGAGAGGAGGGGTGGGAGCAGGGCGGGTGGGGTGGATGATTGGGGCAGGAAGATGTGGTTGGGGCAGGAAGATGTGATTGGGGCAGGAAGATGTGATTGGGGCAGGAAGATGTGATTGGGGCAGGAAGATGTGATTGGGGCAGGAAGATGTGTGGTTTGGTCATGCCCACTCTGCTGGCAGGCACCACAGCAGTGTGGGGACCTTCAATTCTTCGTTTCTCAGTTTTTACAAGCGCACTCCTCCCATCTCTGTTTTACCTGAACTAGACACGAGCAGAGGTCAAGTCGTACCCGAGTCGATTGTTTTCGAGCCTCAAGTGAGGTTCGACTCGACTCAAGCTTTACTCAACTCAAGCTTTACTCGACCGGAGTTTGTTTTACTCGGGCGATACTCGAAACTTGGCCATAAGTCAAGTGAAATTTCTCTTGTCGAAACTCAACCTAAAGTTTGAGAAATTCTCCACTCTGTTCACCTTGCCCCCCCGCCAAACCAGATTTCTCACCGACCACACACCAACCGCGTGTAATGAGTGTGCTTTTGAGTCGACTCAAAAGCACACTCGGTTCACCTTGGCCGCCCCCAAACCAGAATACCCACCAACCAACCACACCCCCTTACATCACCTCTCCCACTATGTTGCAAAATACGCGTTTCACGTACCAGTCGCGTACGTACTGTACGCTCACGTACGTACGTGATACGGGCGATTTCAGCCCCACGATACGCTCGAAATACGGTCGCCCGGGCAGGGGAAAAAAAGTTCCGGGCAGGGAAAAAAAGTATGGGGGGGTGAGTCACGTTGCCTATGTTCATTGTGACCTTGTGCAGTTGGTTTTTTCCCCACGTATGAAATTTTTTTCCCCATTACAAACATGCATTGCAAGTACTAGCAACTACTTCCCCTAGTGCCCTACTCCCCTACTCCCCTACTCCCCAAACCTTCATCTGCTTCTCCTCCTCTACTTCTCTTGCTTCTCAGCTCCTCAACCACTTACACTGCTGCTGCTGCCTTTCTTACTTCACGTACTCATCGGCCAGCACGGCTTCATCCCCCTCCCCCTCCTCCTCCTCCTCCCCTTCCTCCTCCTCGTTGTATCCCTCCGGCAGAGCGGGTTCAGGTATGTTGCCCGGAAGCACCGCCAGTGACTCACCCATCTTGTGGTACTTGTGGACCACACGCCAGTTGTGGGTCACAAAAACTAGGTCTCGGAGCTTCTCCGAGCCTAGCCTGTTGCGGCGGGCAGTGTGCACCGATTCGAACGATGCCCACCCGCGCTCACACGGCGACGCCGACACCGGCTGTGTCAGGGCACGGCACGCAAGGCTGGCCAGGTGGGGGTGGTCAGTCCCGTGCCATGCCCACCACGCCACCATCGACTGCTTGCCTGCCTTCACGGCCTCTCTGTCGGCAATTGCCTCAGGAAGGCCGAAGGAACCTTCAAGGGTGAGGAAGGCCGTGAGCCCCTCCTGCAAAACAAGAGAGGCACGCCTCTCCTCACCATCCTTGTTGGTGAACGTCTTACCGTCGTAGTGACGTGCGATGAAGGCCTTGAAGATGCGGGTACATTCCATGTCGTTGCGGAAAATACCCTCTGCATGATTTCCCGGGTTGAGGATCCGCCCCACGACGTGAAGAGCGCATGCAAGGCTCTCGTCCCAACGGCGCCTAACAATCTTCCCGATGTCAGTCGCAACCGCCCGCGGCAGAATCTGCTCCCCCGCTTCTAGCTTGTCGTTCACGTCTTCGGTCAGCTGGAGCATTAGGTCATAGATAGTCCCCATCATCCCTTTGGCGCAGCTGTCCGTGGCCCGCATCACCTTGAATGGAATCGCCAACAGCTCCGCCAGGTACGAAGCGTTCTTCCACCAGGCATCGTCCATGACTTGGCCGCGGAACGTATCTGCCGTCTGCTTCCTAGCCCCCGCCGACCAGTTGGCGAACTCCTCGCTCAGCACCATCTGCGACAGCGTGGACCGCAGCTCGACGAGCCTGGAGAGGGCGATGTAGTTGGTGCCGACCTGGTCCCCGCCGGCTTCACAAGCTGCTTCCCCTTTCCTCCCTTCACCTTCTTACTCCTCAGGTAGTTGCGGGTGAAATGGTGGTTGCGGACGTAGGTGATCATGTCCCCGCACAGATCCACAATGTCCTTGCACCACGTGAGGTTGCCCACGTCCTCCATCAGGAGGTCGAGCACGTGCGTAGCGTAAGGCACGAACTCGATGTGGGGCCAATCCGCCATCAGCACCTTGCAGGCGGCACCGTAGTTGGAGCCGCCGTCCATGCAAAGAGCGACCACGTTTTCAGGCCCCACTTTCTCGATGATGGGGCGGAGGAGCGACGCGATGTAGCCGCCGGTTTTGGACTCCATGTTGCAGTCGATAGCCTCCACGAACACCGCTCCCGAATCGTTGACCAGCATGACGTTCGCCTGCGGTCTCCCACACCGATCGGTCATCAAGTCGGAGGAGACGGTGACGCCATCCCTCTTCCAGCTCGCGGCGATTGGCTGAAGCCCCTTCTCGATGCTCGTGCGGCATTGCTTCAGCCCAGCTCCTCCCACGTATTTCCGTCGCGGCGCAAGGTAACCATGGGGTGCATTGTTAATGGCCCTGACCATGTTGCGCCACAACAAATTGTCTGCGTGGTGTTCGGGAATGCGACAGCCGGCGAAGAACAAACTGACGGCGTAGTCCGCCTCGCCCTTCTTGCACTGCGCCTCGTCGCCAATGAAGTCGGTGATGCGTCCTCTCTTCGCACCTCCCACGACAGCATTGAGCGCAGCATCCTCGGCCCGCCGTTTTTCGTCGCGGTTGGACGCCTTCTTCCCGTAATGCGTGGCCACCGCCGCTCGCACGTCGGGCGGAACCTTAGCGCACAAGCGGACGTCGCGAGAGCGCTGTCCCTTCCATTTCGCGAGATGCTGAGCGCATCGAAACGCACCACCCTTGAACTCCTTGGAGCAATACTTGCAAACGCGGACAGTCCCGAGTGTGTCGGGACGGATGGGAACCTTGAAATGCTTGAAAACAACATGCGTACTATCCTCCTCCAGCCATTGCGCCTCCGAGGTCGAGGCAGAAGGATCACTAGGCTGAGTGTGGTTAGAAGGGACTGGAGTAGACATAGCTCAACAATGAACAGGAATGTCAACTGGATGAGGCATGTGTTGAGGTGGGGTCAATTATACTTACCACGAATTGGTTGGGGGGTGGGGGACGCGCTGTGGTTGGTCACGAGTTGTTGGGGGTGATTGGGCGCAATGTTGATGTTCGTGGGGTGAACGTGGCGATTCGGGTTTGCACATCCGCTGGTTGGAAAAACGCGACCCGAAATGTCGGTATATGTGCGTACGGAAAAAGCGCGAACTTTTTTTGTTTTTTTTTTTTTTGCCCTGCCCGGATTTACGTATCGCGTATTTGTCCCCGTTTCACGTTTTCCCGTTTATACGTGAACGCATATACGTGAAACGTTAGATTTCCAAAGCGTGTAGTGCAACATAGCTCTCCCACCAGCATAGCCTTATGCATCACACCGCTGTCTCGCACAAATAACCCAAACCCATCTCCCCCCAGTAGCTGCCTACACACACACACATACACACACGCGCGCGCACACACACACACCCCCCCCCCCACACACACACACACACACACACACACATACACACACACACACCAAACGCGTCCTTAAGTGAACCCAACACCCACTAAAATGTCAAGTCGTTTTTTTTTTGCTCAACAAGTTCAAGGAATTCGCAAGTTAGAAAAGGCTCGACCCACTGTGCCTTACCTGACCCACTGTGCCTTACCTGACCCACTGTGCCTTACCTGACCCACTGTGCCTTACCTGACCCACTGTGCCTTACCTGACCCACTGTGCCTCACCTGACCCACTGTGCCTTGCCTGACCCAGTGGGACTTCTGAGGCGCCTCAAATGGTGGCCCCATGCCCCAGTGCTTGTCTCACATGGGAAACTCTAATGCTGGGGGGTGCTGCAGTTAACACTGGGTGTGCTGCAATAGAGGTGTGCTGCAGTTAACACTGGGTGTGCTGCAATAGAGGTGTGCTGGAATAGAGGTGTGCTGCAATAGAGGTGTGCTGCAATAGAGGTGTGCTGCAATAGAGGTGTGCTGCAATAGAGGTGTGCTGCAATAGAGGTGTGCTGCAATAGAGGTGTGCTGCAATAGAGGTGTGCTGCAATAGAGGTGTGCTGCAATAGAGGTGTGCTGCAATAGAGGTGTGCTGCAATAGAGGTGTGCTGCAATAGAGGTGTGCTGCAATAGAGGTGTGCTGCAATAGAGGTGTGCTGCAATAGAGGTGTGCTGCAATAGAGGTGTGCTGCAATAGAGGTGTGCTGCAATAGAGGTGTGCTGCAATAGAGGTGTGCTGCAATAGAGGTGTGCTGCAATAGAGGTGTGCTGCAATAGAGGTGTGCTGCAATAGAGGTGTGCTGCAATAGAGGTGTGCTGCAATAGAGGTGTGCTGCAATAGAGGTGTGCTGCAATAGAGGTGTGCTGCAATAGAGGTGTGCTGCAATAGAGGTGTGCTGCAATAGAGGTGTGCTGCAATAGAGGTGTGCTGTGGTGAGTGGGTGTAAGCATGAAGGCACTGTAGGGCTCGGGGGTGTGTGGTGGATTGGGCAGGGGGAAATGGGCAGGGGGGAATGGGCAGGGGGGAATGGGCAGGGGGGAATTGGCAGGGGGGAATGGGCAGGGGGGAATTGGCAGGGGGGAATGGGCAGGGGGGAATGGGCAGGGGGGAATGGGCAGGGGGGAATGGGCAGGGGGGAATGGGCAGGGGGGAATTGGCAGGGGGGAATGGGCAGGGGAAAATGGGCAGGGGAAAATGGGAAGGGGGGAATGGGCAGGGGGGAATGGGCAGGGGAAAATGGGCAGGGGAAAATGGGCAGGGGGGAATGGGCAGGGGGGAATGGGAAATCAGGGGAAATGGACAAGGGGGGATGGGCAAGGGGGGATGGGCTAGGGGGCAATGTGCAAGGGGTAATGGGCAAGGGGGAAATGGCAAGGGGGAAATGGCAAGGGGGAAATGGCAAGGGGGAAATGGCTAGGGGGAAATGGCTAGGGGGAAATGGCTAGGGGGAAATGGCTAGGGGGAAATGGCAAGGGGGAAATGGCAAGGGGGAAATGGCAAGGGGGAAATGGCTAGGGGGAAATGGCTAGGGGGAAATGGCTAGGGGGAAATGGCTAGGGGGAAATGGCTAGGGGGAATGACTAGGGGGAAATGGCTAGGGGGAAATGGCTAGGGGGAATGGCTGGGAAATGGGCAAAGGGAGAATGAACAAGGGTTAAGGCAAAGGGAGAGGGCAAAGGGTAATGGGCAAGGGGGAATGGGCACTGGGGAATGGGCACTGGGGAATGGGCAAGGGGGAATGGGCACTGGGGAATGGGCACTGGGGAATGGGCAAGGGGGAATGGGCAATGGGGAATGGGCAAGGGGGAATGGGCACTGGGAAATGGGCACTGGGGAATGGGCACTGGGGAATGGGCACTGGGGAATGGGCACTGGGGAATGGGCACTGTGGCATGAGCACTGGGGAATGGGCACTGTGGCATGAGCACTGGGGAATGGGCACTGTGGCATGAGCACTGGGGAATGGGCACTGTGGCATGAGCACTGGGGAATGGGCACTGTGGCATGAGCACTGGGGAATGGGCACTGTGGCATGAGCACTGGGGAATGGGCACTGTGGCATGAGCACTGGGGTTGGGCACTGAGAGGGCATGACAGGTAATAGGGTGTGTCCCACATGTGCTCTGCGACAGCCTGGCTAAAACTACCCTCTCATTCACCTTCCAATGCACCCACCAACCCCCCTCTCCCATGCGTGACCCCGTGTTGTTTTGTGCAAGCGGCACACCTGCTCTTGTGGTGCCTCAGAAGCTCAACCCCCCCCCACCCACCTCTCCACCCCTCTCCCATGCGTGACCCCGTGTTGCCATGTGCAGGCGGCACGACTGCTGGCCATCTTCCGTTCCAAGGACTACTGAGTCGACGCTGAGTAACGCTGAGTCAACGTTGACTCAACACTGAGTCAACGTGGAGTCAACCCTCGGTCAGCGCTCGGTCAACGCATCACTAAGTCTACGCATCACTAAGTCAACGCATCACAACACTGCCCCATTTCTCCCCGGCTCAGCTCTTCACTGCACTTCCCCCCAGCAATTGCCTGGCTTGAGGCCCTCACGAGTGGCCGTGCTTTGCTCCGTCCCTCTTTGGCAGCATTGGGACAGGATGCACAGAGACACCAGCAGCAGCTGCCTTCCACAGCAGCAAACTTTTTCGTGCAGCTGGTGTGTTGCGTACCTTCTGTGGGTGGCATGGCATGGCATGGGTGACATGGGGTGGTATTTGTTGCACAGATACGGTACCACGATGTGCAAGGATGGTTAGTGCAAAATGGAACATGCGTGCTGGGGATGGTTAGTGCACGACATGACACCGCAGCTGCCATCACATGATACTCACACGGTTCGTTGACATGACAGCTTCTAGACCCCGATCTTTGTTTACCGTAATCCCCCGGATATAAAGCCCGCCGATTTAAAGCCCCCATGGGTGGTTTATGCGGGGAGGATTTTCTATTTCGGAATCCGCAATACAACACCCCTTTTTTGCCTTACTAACAGAGCACCCCCCCCCCCCCCTTGTGACCCAAGACGGGAATGACCCAGACTAGTGACTGGGAGCAGAAAAAAACATGGAGTGGATGTTCGTTGCTATTCCAATAAACGCACATTCGTGTGGCTCTGTACAAAGCGGCTGCCCAACGTGTTACAATTGGGCGCGTTTGACCACACGCGCCTGTGTTTGGGTGCACGTTCTCGTCACGTTCTGTCTCGGCTCGCCAACGTGCATCTCTTGACGCGCTTGACCTTGCACAATCTGACCAATAACATTTCTTATATTCACCCACGTTCTTGAACCCGGGTCGATCGAGCCAACTCACGTAAATACAACCAATTTAGCACCATTGGATAGCAGAAACAACATTGCATATTGCTAAGCGTTTATAACATCTGACGCAAAATTACAGACCCGGGTGCAATACGCTCATCCCGCAATAGTGCACCCACCCCCTCATTTTCAGGGCGTACTAACACAACACCCGGGGTCGTGTATCCGGGGGATTACGGTATGTATGCGTGCAATCATGCATGTGCATGCTGCAGCATGGATATCGACCCACATGTTACGTGGATTTTTTCATGGCGTGTCAGCTCTCGGGCTAGGGGTTGCATTGCATGCATGCATCCACGCATAGCGTATGGGATGAACATCTAGCCATGGATGCTGGGTTGCTTCTCTGGTACAGAGAATCTGACCAAGGATTGTGTGCATGGTGGAAGTAATTTATTTCAGTAGTAAATATTTAAATTTGTAATTGATAAGTTTATCAAATGGTGCTGTAAAAGTCAATTCAATTGCCAGCTACCGGTATTCTAGCATATGCTAGCTAGTAACGACAGCAATGCTGAAAGAAGTAAAAGGTTAAAAAAAAAAAAAAAAAAAAAACAAACAAACAAACAAAACAAGAGGCGACGAAATCGTCTTAGGGTTGCGAAGCTTTTTACGTAACTAAATGAAATTGTACAACTTCTAATTCTGTACAAGCTGTAGTATGACACTAAGTGGTATTTGATACAACCTAGCAAAAAACTAGAAAAAACACATCAGCAGGATTTGACCTGGAGCATGTTCGATGCTAAACGACTGCGCCAACACTAATGTTCGTAATCTACAACAAATTTTATCCAAAGCATTTTTGTTTGACAAATCTGGGACTGCTTTAGGGTTTGCTCGTTCCTTTTTTTCTCCCGCTCCTCCTTCTCGCTAGTTGAGAACTCCGCCAGACACGCTCCACCTACTAGTGCAAGGTAAGAACAAGCCTAGCCTATCAATCAGGACCAAGTTAGATCATTACAAGCTAACATAAGTCTAGCCTACCCTACCATTTCTTAATCTCATGTCGTATTAGTTTAATATAGTGTTGGCTGCAAGTTGTTTTAAGCTTAGGTTATAGGCCGCATTTCATCTGTTTCTCCTACCCGCTCCTCTTTCCGTCTTCATCTTCATGTTAGTCTTATTCGTTAGCCATAAACTTCTCTCGCACCTCGTTCTTTTTTACCATTCGTTTCTCTTGTTACGGATTTGTTTTCTTCCATGGTTATCTTTTCTTTGTTAGCTTGCACTTGTTCCTTCTATTTTTATTGCGCATGCTGAGCGTCTAGCTGCCGACCTTTCGAAAACTCTATTTGCCTCACTCTCTCTTTGTCTCGCACTCTCTTTGCCTCGGGCTCTCTCGGGCTCGATCTCTAGAGATCTCGAGCGAGTCTCGAGTCTCTCGAGTCTCTCGTTCTCGAGTTCGGAGAGCTCGAGTGAGAGAGGAGTCTCTCTCTCTCTCTCTCTCTCTCTCGAGAGAGAGAGCTCTCGCTCGCTCTCGCTCTCTCTCTCGCTCTCTTCTAGAGAGCGATCGAGCTCTAAAGAGGGAGAGAGCTCTCCTCTATCTCTCTCTCGCTCTCGCGATCTCTCTCTCGGGGTCTAAGGGCGATCTTTCTCGCGCTTCTCGCTCTCTCTCTCTCTCTCTCTCTCTCTCTCTATCTCTCTCTCTCTCTCTCTCTATCTATCTCTCCGTTCTCTCTCTCCAGTTCTCTCTCTCTTCTCTTCTCTCTCTCTCTCTTCTCTCTCTCTCTCTCTCTCTCTCTCTCTCTCTCTCTCTCTCTCTCTCTCTCTCTCTCTCTCTCTCTCTCTCTCTCTCGTTCTCTCTCTCTCTCTCTCTCTCGTTCTCTCTCTCTCTCTCTCTCTCTCTCTCTCTCTCTCTTTCTCTCTCTCTCTCTCTCTCTCGTTCTCTCTCTCTCTCGTTCTCTCTCTCTTCCTCTCGTTCTCTCGTTTTCAATCTCTGGTTCTCTCTCTCTTCCTCTCGTTCTCACTCCCTCTCGTTCTCTCTCACGTCCTCTCTCTCTTGTCCTCTCTCTTTCATTCTCTTCATTCTCTTTTAAGCTTCAATTCTTAATATCACATTTTTCTTCTTGTATTCCATGCTTCTTTTTTGCTATCACAGATACTCGCTTTTAGGCAGGATGGATTTTGAAGGAAGGGAGTGTCGTACCACTTACAGTGCATTTTTTTTTGTTACTTTAATTATGAGTAATTGTTTGATTTGTTTCATTTCTGTTTGTATTATGCTTATTTTCGTTGCAATCGTAATGCATGTCTGCATTTTTCAAAAAAATATCTTGCCGATCATCGTCACAAAAGGTTGAGTGGTCCACCACTATGACAGTGAAGCCATTTTCAGCTGGACTTGATCGGTTTAGATATTTTTTTGGGATATGCAGATTGTATTGCTTTGTTACAGTAGCTGTTTAATTCAACGCTTATATTGCTGACTTCCCCGACACGCTAGGCGGGGGAAGCGGTAGTATAAATTTTAAACTTCAAATATTCATCAATTCGTTTGATGAATATGAGAAATGCAATTATCGTTTGGTCGGTCATTGCAGCTCTCCACAGATTCTCACCTTTCTAAATCATGCGCGTTACAAAAGAACGAAGTAGAGTACCGTAGCAATGACCAGCAAAT